GGGATGCAAGAGATAAGGAATCGATCAAAAGAGCGATCGCTCACTCCAACGTGGTGATCAACCTTGTGGGAAGAGAGTGGGAGACCAGGTACTGTAAAATAAGGCTATGCGATTTGGGGGGGAAATCTAATTGCCCAATTTTTTACATTTTTTTGTGATAAATATTGTGATTGTGACTTAAAAAGGTTTGTTGGACTGTATAATTTGGCCAAAATGTTTTGATTATATATCAATATGTCTATATAATAATAATAAAATATTACTGCAACACTATAAAAACTATATAAAATTAATAAATAAAAACAAAGCAATATGACTTAATATTTCACTGTAAAATTAAATAGAGTATTTTAAAAAAAATACAATACTAATAATATTTATGGATGTCTTCAAATGTTCTTTATTCTCAAATGTTAAACCATGAAACTTTTATTTTGATGGAAAAACGGCAGGTAGCCACTAAAGCTTCTCTTTTTACAGTTTAGAGTTTTTCTATATCTCAAAATCAAATATTCATCAGCCACTTCTATTAAACTAGATTCTGCCTAAGCTAAGTGAAATTCTAACTTAGATACTGTTCTACAGATATATTTATATAGATTGTTTCTGTAAAATATTTGATCTCTCTGTTAAAGGAACTACAAGTTTGAAGATATCTTCGTCTCCATCCCCCAGCAGATGGCGAGGGCAGCTCGTGAAGCCGGAATTAAAAAATTTATCCATATGTCCCACCTTAACGCAGATATTCGCAGCCCCTCCAAGTATCTAAGGAATAAGGTAACGGTAACATCCCTATTCAAAAACCATGTGTGTGCATAGAGTTAAAGTCAACCCGCTTTGTATTGTTACAATGTCGGTAGTACCGTACATGTATATGAACTATGTTACATTTATTTTAATACATGTAATCAATTACTACCCAGCAGTGCCCAGTGCATTATGGTTATTGACGTTTTCTTACCTATTTGGTAAAAGGGAAGACATTAGCTTGATTTCTGAAATGACTTTCTGTTTCTCCACTGAAAAAACCTATGCAGAAAATCATCTCAAGCAATAACCATAATGCTATTTATGCTGCTAATATAGGTCAATCTTTCTGAAGTCATTTGTAATGCATTCTACAAATTTAAAGCATGATTGAATGATAAAGTATGATGATTGCACTGTTCTCGTGTCATAACTGGTTGTAATGAGTTCTACTCTTGCAGGCTGTAGGAGAGGCAGCGGTGCGGGAAGAGTTCCCTGATGCCGTCATTATGAAACCCTCGGAGTGCTTTGGAAGAGAAGATAGATTCTTAAACCACTTTGCTAGTAGGTATCTGACTGCATCCTGAAAACGGTTACTGATTGAAACAATTTAATATTTGCCTTCATTTTATGTGGTATATCTGTCTGAAAGAGACAGTTCACCCAAAAATGAGAGTTCTGTTATTTTGCACAGCTCTGTTATCAATAAACTGAATATAAAAGTTAGCACAATTTGCTTTCCCCAGTCTGTTTTCATCCAATTGGCCTTTTACAAATAAAGTGTACATTTTTTTTTATAAAAAAAACAAAAAACAAAAAAACCTTGAGCCATTTCCATGCATAATTTTGTGTATATTGCAAATTCTGCATCATTCGCATTCCCAGATATCACCAAATCTTTGTGGAATGGAGAAAGTAATGAGACAGTTGAAACCACTGGCTATTCTAAATGAATTCACAATGCAGTTTTACTTTTTTCATCTTCAGCACAAAATGTGTAAAAAAAAAAATTAATTTGCAACTTAAATTGGCAAAATTACAGTTTATAATTTTAATCCCTGCTAAGAAAAAAATCACAGAAAATACTTGTTTCATTCGATTGTATATACAACGGGAAGGTCATGAGACCATATAAATATTGTTTTTCAAAATTTAGATTCCACTGTATTTGAAGTTTGAATAGATTTAATGCACTCTTGAACATTACAGTGAAAAAGCGATTAAATGGAAGTAACATAGATGCATTTGTAGTTCTGTCACGTGATCACATTTATTTGTGTTAAAACTCTTTTTCTCTACAAAAACATTTGAAGTAGCGACATTGAGTTAAAGTTAAGCAAAAAAATGCTTGCAAAATTGTATAGATGAATACCATTTCCATCAGCTATTGGTGAATATTTTGAAACTTGGCTTTTAATTCACCCTCATTTTGTTCCAAACCAGACATTCTATTTTCTGACTAATACAAATAGCAAATTTGTACCCAACCTTGTTTTGTTGAATCCATAATATTTCCTTTAATTGTCTGTTTAGACATGCGTTGGTTTGGCAAAGCTGTACCTCTAATTGGAATGGGCAAGAAGACAGTCAAGCAGCCTGTTCATGTAAGTATCAAACTAGAACACAAGAATCTTATTTAAACTGCACCTATTATGCCTTTTCAGATATTACCTTCCATGTAGTGTGTAATATAGCTGTTTGTGAATGTGAAAAGTCTGCAAAGTTTTAAAATATCAGTGCACAAAGTTATTGTCTCCCAAAAGAAAGAACCGATTCTGAACTGCCTGAAATGAGGCTTATTCCAGTCTTACTTCCTGTTCCTGCACAAACCTACGAAGGTTTGTAACACATTTGTATGATGCCAGCCTATGACCTTCATTGGCTGCCCTTGAACAACGTCTATTTTGACTCGCACTCAAACACTGTAGTTGTAGGCCTGGAAGTTTGGTTTGTGTTGTTGAAATGTCGAGATGACTTTGCACTTTGCATGTACTTCCAAGGTATGAGGAATCAAATTGATATGGTAAAACCGGCAGCATCATTACTGTTCGTATCGCTGTCGAAATTCAGATATGGTAGTGTCTGAACCAATCAAAGCAGAGCAGGCTCTCAAAAAGGAGGGGTTTAGAGAGACTGAATAATTTATCAAAATATTTGAGTTTTTCGAACTTGGATGCATGTAAGCCTGACCTTCAAAACAAAATTAGAAACCTTTAAGGCTGATTTATACTTCTGCGTCGGAGCTACGCCGGAGCCTCTACGCTGTAGACTACGCGTTGGTTTTAATTTATACTTCTGCGTCGTTGTCCGCGTCGATGCACGCAGAGGGAGCATGTGAAACCCGAGGGAGCGGTTCTAGCAGACCAATCACAGCGCTTGCGTCCGTGTAGAATTGACGCGTTGTTACACTTTTTGGAGAGGTGCACGTCAGGTTACGCCGAAGGTTACGCGCGCTACACACAGCATACGATGTAGCTACGGCGGGACGTCGACGCAGAAGTATAAATTGGGCTTTAGAGTAGCATAATAGGGGCACTTTAAATTGACATGGTCATGTTCTCTTGTTATTTGAGATTAAATATTAAATATTTCACCCTTGTTTACTTTTTAAAGGTGGTGGATGTGGCCAAAGCCATTGTCAATGCCATGAAAGACCTCGATGCTAATGGGAAAACGTATGCATTAGTTGGGTAAGAAACAGCCCCATTTCTCCTTCACTGCCTTCAAATTTTTCAAAAAAATGATGCATTTCCATTCTATGATTTATTATATCTGAAAACTTGAATCTCTTGCTCCACAGGCCCAACCGGTATCTACTGCATGACCTGGTAGAGTATGTGTACGCACTGGCACACAGACCATTTTTGGCTTATCCCTTGCCTCGTCCTCTCTATCAGTAAGCATCTCCTAAAAAATCACTACATATTACTCTTCTTAAAGGGATAGTTCACCCGAAAATGAAAATTCTGGCATCAATTACTCGCCCTCATGTCATTTCAAACCCATAAGACTTCAGAGCACAAATGTCCCTCCATTGAAAGTTTTTTCACCCAAAACTCTGATGCTTTAAAATCTTCATAAACAGATTGTAAAAGAAATCCAAATGAATCAAGTGGTTTAATCCAATTACTATATTTGTGTGCTTTAGAGTGATCCCTTTAACCTTTACAGATGTTTCCTTTGGCAGCCTCATATTCACTTTGTGTTCTCTGGTTTTAGCCTTATCGCAAGCTTTTTTGAGATGAACCCTTTCGAGCCCTGGACAACCCGTGATAAAGTCGACCGGGTATGTGTGTCAGAGCATTACAACATAATATATTTAGATTATTATAAAGAACTTACCAAGTAATCTAAACCCTCATTTGTAGTTCCACACAACGGACATGAAGTGCTCCGACCTCCCAGGACTGGAAGACTTGGGCATTATACCTTCCTCCATCGAGCAGAAGGCCATCGAAACCTTGCGTCGCCATCGCCGTTATCGTTATCTGGATGCTGAGCTCGGAGAGACCAAGCCCGCCAAAACAGTCAGCTTTTAAGCATGCGTTGGTCGCTCCTGTGTCCAGTCAGCTCTCTGCTGGTCCTCACGTTGTCTAGTTTGACTTTTGTCTGTACATAAATAAAGATAATCAACCTATAGCTTTGGCTCTTGTTTTTTTCTTGAGGGGAGTGAGATGCATTTTCGTATATTTGCCTTACGTAGAACGCATTACAGATGGGAGGGATGTGATTATAAAAAACGTGAAAAGTTTTATGAATTTTTTTATTTATACTTAATATTCAATGTTTTAAAAATGACTTGTGATCTTGCTTAAATTATTGTAGGTGATTTACTTCAATAGAAATTAGCATTGATCACTTGACTGAGGTTAGCTTAATCATAGCTCATTAGAATGATTTCTGAAGGATCATGTGACACTGAAGACTGGAGTAATGATGCTGTAAATTCAGCTTTGCATGATCACAGGAATAAACATTTTAAAATAATTATTTTCAATTGTCCTAACATTTCAGTTACTTTTTTTATACTTCTAACAATTTTGTTATGAAATAAAAGCAGCCTTGGTGAGCATATATGACTCCCTATATCATGTCAGACACTAACCCAGTGTCTCTGCAAGAACTTTGACCAGCAATAATAAATCAGCAGTAACATTAACTACTCCCGGCCATTACCGTGTCAGAACCAGGCAGTGAATCGTGAATAGGGATTCATACTATACCCTCATGCCATTCCAAACTGCAAGGATATTTTGAAAATGAGGGTGGCTGCAAGAATTGGTTTGATAGTTATTGGCGTGATACTGATAGTTTACAGTCTTATGTACATCCCATTTATCAGACAGGAGAAGAGTAATGACAACAGGTTACAAAGGCCAGAAGTTCTGGAGGCTCTTAGAAGACTGAAGAGAATAGAAGATCAAGTTGATAAAATAGGTGAGTTTACATATACACGAGTTTAAACTTAGGCTACATATAATTCATTAAAGTAAGGTTATGCGTATTTGGCGAGTTGTCCGAAGGGAGGGCTCCGAGCTCGAACTTGGCCCGAACCCAGAGTACTCCCCATCCCAGGTAGTAATCGACTAGTCCGAAGTGAGGCGATGGGTCTGGGATGCTGTAAAACTGTCATAGGACAGAGGTAAGTCTGCTGAATATGTCTCCTGATGCTAATTGAGTTGACTTGGTGAGCGTCTCCCATGTTAATGGGAGTGAATTATCTGAACGTGCTCCTCCCGAACTTTGTAAAACAGCAGCATACTGACTCACCTCTGTGGTTGCAAGCCAATAAGAAGAAGAAGAAGAAGACGACTCACCTCTGTCCCACGACAGTTTTTCAGCATCCATCCTCCACCCCAATTCCTAGCTCACTCGTCTTATCTGTTCCTATCTCAGCCAGGGAAGGGGCTAGGACTCTGCGTTCGAGACACATTTTGAATTCGGAAAGCACGCCAAATACGCATACTCTTTCAAGGTTTTCATTATCTTGTGGCACTATCTCCAATGTTATATTGACTACTTTAATTTTCAGCCAAATTCATAGACGTCAAAAACCAAAAAGTCAAAGAGACTGTTGTGAAGCAGAGAATTGAGGTAAAGAAGTTGTATCCACAATCGCCTCTGTTCAGTTCATGGGGAGCTGAACTCACAGTAGAGGAACAGATGGAAGCAGAGAGGCAGTTTCAGGAGTACGGATACAATGTGTTCCTCAGTAACAGATTACCAGTGAACAGAACAATCCCTGATACTCGAGATCACAGGTAACACCTTCATAACTTAAAAAAAAAAAATAGTTTCCTGTAACATTCCTTATTATTCTTGAAAATAGCTGCGCTGCTTTTTTCAGGAATCTTAAAGTGACAGTACCGGTCAAAAGTTTGTATTAGTATTTTTAATGTTTTTGAAAGAAGTCTTTTATGCTCATCAAGTCTGCATTTATTTGATCAAAATACAGAAAAAAACAGTCCTATGATGAAATATTATTACAATTAAAAAGAATGGTTTTCTAATTTAATACTTATTCATTTCTGTGTTGGAAAGCTGAATTTTCACTATCATTACTTTTCATTTAGTTTCACATGATCCTTCAGAAACATTCTAATATGCTGATTTATCATCAATGTTGGAAACAGTTGTGCTGCTTAATACTTTTTATAACCTTTGATACTTTTTTCAAGATTCTTTGATAAATAAAAAGTAAAATTCAAATAAAATCGTTATATCACAAAATGTTTAAACATTTCACAATATAACAGTTTTTTTGCAGTATTTTTGATCAAATAAATTCAGGCTTGTTGAGCACTCTACTCCAAACTTGCTGGTTCTAGTAGTGTATGCATTTATAAACTCATTTGCATATATGTATATATATACACACAGATGTGCTGTGAAGATCTACCCAAAGGACCTGCCATCTATTAGTGTAATTCTGATTTATTTAAATGAGGCTCTGTCAGTCATTAAAAGGGCAATCCGCAGCATCATTGACAAAACGCCTGCTCATCTACTAACAGAAATCATCCTGGTGGACGACTACAGCTTGAATGGTTAGTTTTACTCAAATAATTTTACTTCTTAAATAAATAAAATAATAACAAATATTTAAAGTTCCTAAAAAAATGTGTTAAGCATAGAAAAATGTAATCAAGAAAAGTAAACTTAATTAATGAAGAATATAGAAAAATCGCTAAAAGACAAAAATACTGATTAAGAAAAACATTTACAAAGGGCATGAGTTATTTTAGTAAATATTATTATTGATTATATAATAAATATTAATAAATAAACATGCATATTTTATTTAACTACAGAGGATCTGCAAATGGCTCTAGATGAATATATTAATCTAATTAATAAAGACAAACTTGGCTTAATCAAGAAAGTGAGACACAAAAGGCAGATGGGTCTTGCCAAGGCAAGAGTTTCAGGCTGGGAAGCGGCCAAAGGCCAGGTGGTGGCCATTCTGGATGCCCATATTGAGGTTCACAAGGAATGGTAAATACCACAATCTGATTATTATAATGTGAGGGATGTATTATCTTTGCCAAATAAATATTTGACTGCCTTATTGTTCTAGGGCAGAGCCACTGCTTGCAAGAATCAAAGCAGACAGGACAATTGTGCTTTCGCCAGTGTTTGACAAAGTATCTTTTGACAGCCTGGAGGTTATTAAATATTACCCCTCTGCTCATGGTTTTGACTGGAACCTTTGGTGCATGTACGAGTCTTTCCAGCCAGAATGGTACAAAATGAACGACCCATCAGAACCAGGAAAGTAAGTGGTGTAACTTTTTCACCATTTTAAACAGTTTAGTTTCATGATGCACTCAACCAGTGTATGGATTTTAATAAGGTTATTTTGTCATTTAACATCGGAGTCTGACAGACTCTCCCCCTCCACTATGCATGGAAATCGGCGACAGTTGACTGCACGAAGTGTCATTCTCAAAAAATTCTGTTGTTTTTAACTCTTTCCACGCCATTGATAGAAATCTACGCCTTTCCGTGTTTTCACTGTTATACGGTAGGGGTGCTATTACACATCTTCTGAAGGAGTACTGAATCTTCAGATCAAAACACATGTGAAGAAGCAGAACTTCAGAACGGACAACTTTTTTCCAAAACTCTGGCAGGGAAAGAGTTAAATGTCCCTGCAATTTGACAGATACATTTTAAAAAAAAAGAAAAAGAAAAAAGCAATTTTTACTCCCATATAATAATCCCAGGACATGTCAACAATACTTAAGGTCCCCATGAAATTTAAATGGACAATTCTTTTTTTTTTTTTTTTGAGAGTAGCTATTTATTTAAAAAATGTATTCATTAATATAATTCAAATTTATTTAATTCATGTGACCCAATAATCTTTAATCAAAATAACTTTCCCTCCCTCTTGCAGCGAGTCAGTGACATCTCTTCCTCCTCTGATGTGTTTATTTGCGCGACAACCTGTCAATCACATGACATCACCGCAATAGCAAATTACAACCATCCAATCAATTCCCAAAGGGCAAAATTAAGTCCCTGCCTTTTTTTTTTCTTGTTTGAGAAGCCGTTTCACTCCGATATACATCACAATAGGAAAAAGACTATCACAACTTCCATTTCATGTCGGCTTCAATAAATAGTCAGTTACTTTTTCTGCACTATTAGGAGTCCCTCAATCATGGGTATCCTTGTCGCTGATCGTCAATTCCTGGGAGAAATTGGAGTTTTGGATGAAGGAATGACAATTTATGGAGGTGAAAATGTTGAACTAGCAATACGTGTAAGTTATTACTGCACATTGTGGCACCAAAAAATGCATATAACATGTAAAAAGTGCTTGAATATAATCAACATCTGATTTTAATGAATAAATCAGGTCTGGCTCTGTGGCGGGAGTATTGAAGTGGTGCCATGTTCAAAGATTGCTCACCTTGAAAGAGCACATAAGCCTTATTCACCGGATCTCAGCAAACCCATGATTCGAAATGCTCTGAGAGTGGCTGAAATCTGGATGGATGAATATAAATCATATGTGAATATTGCCTGGAATATCCCTCTAAAGGTAACAGTCATAGTAAACATTGTTTCAAGGTCAGTTCAAGATAAGTTGAATTTTAACAGTCTTGTTTAGAACTATTCATTTCGTTTTTCCTCTAGGATCATGGGATTGATATTGGTGATGTGACTGAAAGAAAACAGTTACGAGAGAAACTCAAATGTAAGCCCTTTAAATGGTATCTGGAAAACGTATATCCTTTACTAGACAGATGGAAAGACATAAAGGGTTATGGCGGGGTAAGTTGCTCAAAGTCTTCTAATATACACAATTTCCCTCCCAAGAAGAGATATAAATAAATGAATTAAACTGCTGCTGTTTATTTTCATGACAGTTGAAGAATGATCTTCATGGAGGCTACTGCGTTGATGAAGGACCTGTTCCTGGAAGTGTACCTATTCTGTATGAGTGTCATTACTATGACTCTCAGGTATGTAAGTGTAAACCCTTGCTGTGAATAGCTACGTCCAAAATGCACTCTTCATTTCAACATCTCTTACAGCGTTGTTCCTACAACAGTAATGGAGAGATATACATTGGAGGAATCAAATCTCACACATATAACTCCAACCGTTGTCTAACGGATCCCGGTAGTGGAAGCACACCGGCGTTACATGACTGTAAACAAGCCAAGGAGAAAGAACTGAGTATATACTGGGACTTCACTCAGGTATGATCCTCCTCTGCATTTTATTCGTTTATTCATTTTTATGGAATATTTCACACCGCATTGCTTACCTCTTTTAAAAAAAAATATATATATAATATAATATATATAATATACTGTATATATATTTTTTGAACAATCGCTAGGACACATTTCTCAATACTTAGGTCTTTTTTTACGAACTACCAAAACAACCAAAACACTTTATACATGTCTCAAATCAACTCATTCTTCCAAAGCACTTGCAAAGGTTTTCAGCAAACAAACACACTTTGTCAATCATAAAACACTAGCATCCAGGTATTATACAATGTTTACTTTTGTAAAATTTCTTTACAAAGCAAAAATGACTCTCTACTACTTATAATTCACTGCAGCATGTTACATGGTCAATGTTTGCATTACAGTACAAACATGTTTCCTAAGTTTTCCCCTTTTGAGTGGATGCTAATGAAATTGAAAGACTAACACTTGTGCAGGTGTTCAGTTCCATCTAATTGCTTTGATTGTATTTGATTTTTTAGATTCAGAATATATTTCAATATCGTATTACTGTAGAAATGGTGCAGATTTATGTCTTATTCATTTTTGTGTTGTGCAAGGTTTTGTTTGTTAAACTTAAGTTTAACAGTTTTTAAAAAAAGAGTTTGTTAACGTGCAAAATGGCCTTTCTAGTACATAAAGTTTTGGTGGTGTTTGTGTCTGTGAGAAAAAAATGTATGTAAATTGAAAGATGTCGTCGTTGGATGCATTTTGTACCAAAGCAATGATAAATGATCCACAGTTTAGCCCACATAGACTGCTGTTGTGATCACTGAAGAGCTGTGAAAATGTGACCTAAGTATTGAGAAATGTGTCCTAGTGATTGTAAAAAAACTAACATTTTGAAATGCGGTTATTCTGTGCTCTGTCTCTCTCTGTCTCTCTGAATTAAAACTTAATTCAAATTTTTGGATTTAAATTTAGGGAAATGCAGTAAGAAATCGAAAGACAAACCGTTGTCTCGAGATCGGACAAGGACAGGATTCCTACTATCATCTCATTTTGCAGACATGCACAGGACAAAAATGGACAATACAACATGTCATCAAAGACTTTTAAAAGGTAACATTGTAAAGGGAATAAATGAAGAACAAACTTCAAAACAAATGTGTGTGTGTGTGTTTCAAACCCGGTAACAAGTTTAAATTAACTGCCAGTTTAACCCCTGGTTTAACCTGATAGGTGACATCAATAAAAAAATGTCATTAAATGGTTTCCTCAAACACTGATAAAACTATTACAATATAATAACAGTGTTATATTACAATATGAAACAGACTTAGTTCTTTGTGAACCTCGGAGAGAATGGTGTCTTTGTACCTTTGTCTGCTCAGGGAGGGGTCGTTCCTCAACCAGACTGTCCGGCATTTCGGCATCTCAATTCTTACAACAGTAAAACCTTTTTATTTATATTTTATAATCACATTTTGTCATCAATTAAAAAATTTAAATAAATGGTTTCCTCAAACACTGATAAAACGATTACAATAAAATAGCAGTCTTTGTGTGCAACAAAAATTAAAATGTTAGATTATAAAAAATTTTTTTAAAGTATTTTACAAAAAAATAAAAAATGCAAAAAAAAAATAAAAAATGCACAACAATCCAAAGTCTGGAGGTTGCGGCATCAAAAAAGAATAGGCCTACTGATTCCCTTATCAGGGGAATTTATAGCGAGAAAAGGTTTATGGAATTGCAGTAATAAAAAAAGTAGGTAACAGGGTCAAAGCAGAAGTTTTGAAATGTGTATCTTTACCTGTATATACTGTTTAAATAGGCTACATAATAAAAATGTATCTGTGTGTGTGTGTGTGGTGTCATTTTATTTTAGCCATTCCATTTAACGCCTGTTGCATAAATCCATAGCATAAACCTATAGCCACCATGTTGTCTTAAAAGGATAGTTCACCTAAAAAGGAAATTTATATGTAATCATTTACTCACACACTCATGTTGAATACACGTGAATTTTGTTTCATGCATGTGAAATTGTCTAGCTACCGTGAATTAATAAGACTGATCTGCTTCCATAGTAAATGATGACATTTGTATTTTGGGGTGAACTATCCCTTTAAGAACTAGTTTGACCGACTAGCAGTTAACCCAGGGTTGGGTGATCATTCTTACTTTTTCAATTACAATTAGACCAATGATGTTACTAACTTGGAAAAAATATGAGCAGTCTTGTAGAAAAAAAAGAGAGAACTTGTATGATAGAGGGCGCAATTCAAACAAGTGATTCAGTCTCTTAGCAACGTGTTTGTTTGTGGGTTTCCCTCGTTTCGTGACATCCAGTTGGTCGATTGTAACATTTCATTGCTCTCTATATCGATCTATAGATAGTGGTGATATACAATGGATCAAGTTGAGCTTCTGTCAGACCGAATCGCAGCTGTTCAACTTGACAGAAAGAGAAACAGGGAACTGCAACGCCGAGAGAGGATCTTTAATGACAAAGTCCGCACGATTGGAGTAAGTCTGTTCGCTGAAAACATCTTTATACAGCTGTAAATAGCATTTTGCAAATTCGTTTTGTTGATTTCTATCTTGGACAGCTTGACTATGATGCTCTCGACCATCAAGTTAAAGAACGAAGAGAGAAAGACCAACGCGAAGCAAACGAACTGGAAGTCTATGGTGAGTAACACCAAAACCAGCAATATTACAATTAACATTTTCAATTTCTGTTTTAAAATAATAATACAAAATTCCAGATGGTATTAACTGTCTGGAAAAAATTCTAATTAAAATGCTGACATTTTTGGGCACTATATATTGGGGACTACGACTATCAGGGGCGTAGCAACCGGGGGGGACGGGGGGGACACGTCCCCCCCACTTTTAGAAACAGGTGATTCTGTCCCCCGCATTTTTTTTTACTCCGCGCCAATATTTCCGCCCGTGTTCTCTGATTTGTTACTTAGACTTGAGTGAGCTAACATTCAGCCAATCACAGCGCGAAGCATCTATTGGGCGCGTCTGCCATGAGCTTCAAATCTTTTGTTGCTCTTGCGAATTTTCGTCTTTGTTTAGTCGCTTTGCTGTTTGGCCGTCTAATGCACCCCAGAAAAAAAGCAGAGGACTACATCATTTTTTTTCAAACACACACTGTTACAGTATGTCGCGATGACATGAATCACACGTAAAGTTTCCTTATTATGATTTAACCTACTGTAACGCTGTAAGAAGTGTAAGACAACAGAACCCGTATGGACCTCGTCACGTCGCGCCGGATTGTGCCGAGTGTGTGTTAAATGCTCTCCTACCTGTTGCTTTGGATAAAAGCGTCTGTTAAATGAGGCATAACAGATTATTCCCAGCAGGCACACAACGTCATAAGACGTTGATATTTGGTTAAATTTTGGTTGCGACGTCGGGTGACCAAAATTCAATGTAAATTCAACATCTAATGTCAATGTTAAATTGATGTCCAATACCGAATACATTGATTTAGGTTTTATTGATATATTTTTTTTATAAAATGTCTGTTGTATAAAATTACTGTAGGCTATATGTAATCTGTTATACTCATTGAACACTTTTTTTGGTCCAACTGTTAGTAAGATAAAAGTTAGGCCTATTGTTCAAGTGTAGTTTAACTGAAATATTGTAAATATCATAAAATATCTTTATTTCATAAAAATAAAGTATAGATGTCCACAGTTGTCTGAAAGTCCCAAGTCCTGCAATATTTTTTTTATTTCGAGTATGATTTCACAAAAATAGGTTGCTGTAAACTATCATGGCATGTTCCCAAATTTGGCACTAGGGTGCTGTAAAATGCCAATTGCTATTCCATCTAGAATTTATTATTATGAACATCAACTTTCAGTCCCTCCAGAAAAACGCGATTATGCGATCGCATGATTCAATGCATAATCAGCCAAAGTCCGCATATTTATGCGGGGGCATTTTTTCAAATAGGCCTACGCCGCACTTTTGCCGTATAAATTGCCGATTTCCACGCAGAATATGCGGCGCTTGTATGATTTCATAATCCCCGCATTTTTGTTGCAAAAAAAAGTCACATATAGCTATCTTAGCAGAAAGTTGAAAAATGTTGCGTTTGCTTCACACGAGAGCAGCCGTTTCCCCCTGTTGCCATGGGAACGTTATGAAGTGACGTAATTACGCGACATGAACATCATTGAAAAAAAAAACTGTAAAACAGGAAACATTTTTTTCATATTTTATTTATTCATTTTTACTGAAGTTGTAGCATATTCCTTTTGTAAAGCTACAGAACTTGTTTGACTCATCAATGTTTTGTAAGTTTGAGCCATGTGTTTATTAAGGTCTGAAATAAAACAAGATTAAATATTCCAGCACTTTCTGTGATGTAGTATGTTTGCTTATCATAGGAAGTAATAAGAAATAGCTCTTTACATTAAGGTAGTAGCCTAGTGAGAACAGGGTGTTGGGGAATCACTTTTTCTCTCTTTTTCATCAAACCGCAGTTTTTGTAAGTTCCCGCAATTTCATCACATAAAATTGCAAATATCCTGCATATTCCATCGCCGCATAATCAAGGATTTTTGCCCGCAACAATCACAAAAAAACTCCGCATTTTTCTGGAAGGACTGACCTTTGGGTCACATCACCACACCATTTTGTCCCCCCCACTTTTATAATGGCTGCTACGCCCCTGACGACTATACGTGTGTGTGTGTGTGTGTGTGTGTGTGTGTGTGTGTGTGTGTGAGAGAGAGAGAGATGATGGGTAGGTTTAGGGTGAGGGTCCGTGTAAGGGGAAGATAAAACACAGTTTGTACAGTATAAAAATCATTATGTCTATGGAAAGTCCTCATACAACATGAGTGTGCGTGTGGAAAGAGGTTTTTTTCCACAAAAATGTTTTTGGATAACTTTAATAACATAACTCACTATTACATTGAGGCTGACTCAGAAACTTCTTCTCCTGTGTGTTTTCAGCTGATGACCTGCTGTGCAGTGATCGTGTAGCCTGTGTCCTGGAGCAGCGGCAGAAGAAAGATGAGCGTCTGCTGAATGAAGCCATCGTGCAATTTAGGGAACAATTCCAACAAACAACCAGCAGACGTGAGTTTGATCTGAACGATCCAGAGCTGCTAAAGAAGCAGGAAGGTGTACGGATTCTCCCGGGACTGACTGGAGAAGATCTGAGCCAGAAGGACAGGCTGAGGAAGCAGCAGGAGCAGCTCAGAGCATGGACCCTTCAACAGCAAGAAGAACTAGAGCGAGCGAAACAACAGCTTCAACAAGAAGGTACGTTCACTCGCTGAATGGCAGCTCCTTATATCTGAGCCCTACCAATTTTCAGTGACTTTTGGTCCCAGTCTTGAATGTTTGCTTGATTCTTTCTGAAACTACATTATGGCCGTGAATCGATTAAAACTAATTTGTTGCACAGGTTTTTTCGCACATAACCTAACAGCTTTGTAACACATTAAAACCCCAAATGAATGTAGAAGCAACACGATGACCGTTTATTTTAAATTATATTTATAAATTTAAATGAAAATTAAAATACAAATATATAAATAATTGTGTATTTTTAAGGGCTGTGCAACGATTAATCTCGATTAATCACATCCAAAATAAAAGTTTGTGTTTACATAATATATGTGTGTGTACTGTGTATAATTATTTTGTATATATAAATACACACATGCATGTATATATTTAAGAAATATTTGCATGTATATACTGTATATATATACATAATTTATATTATATATAAATATGAATATTATATATATAAATTACACATTTTTATTAAATACATACATGCGTGTGTGTGCGTGTGTATTTATATACAAAATAATTATACACAGTAAACACGTATATTATGTAAACACAAACTTTTATTTTGGATGCGATTAATCGAGATTAATCGTTGCACAGTCCTAGTATTTTTAAATAAATAAATCTTTATTATTATAAGTCATCTTTTTATTAAGTACTATACTTACATTTTTCAAATTTGTTTCTAAATTTTGGGGATAAAATGACTGCCATTCAACAATGTATTTGAATAATTGTTAACATGTAATTGGCAGACTGCAAATTGTCAGTCTACTGATTTTATTAATAAACAATAACAACAATTACAGAACATGTCATTTAAACATGTAAAAACAAATAAACTTACAACAATCATTTCATAAATCTTAATCAAAATTATTTCCCCCAGCCCTAGTATCAATGCTTTCTCTTTTTACAAACTGTATAGTGCATCAGCACGATCAAAGCAGAATGTCTCTGGATAACCGAGCTCTTGAACTGCAGAAGATGGAGGAACAATACAAGAGAGCTGCAGCCATCGCCACTAAAGACTTTAACCGGGCACTGGTGAGTCACTGACGACTGAAGTCCACAAAGTGGAAACAAAAAGGCTTTATAATTCAAATAGAACTCAATTTTCCATTGTTCCTTGACCACAGGCTGCAGAAATCACACATCGCCGTCTACAAGAGTGTCACGAGGAAGAGGAGAACAACCAGACGGACATCCTGAACCAGCTAAATGGGGACCTGCTGATGGAAAACCCTGAACAGAAAGTAAGTGTGCTGGGTCTGTCCCGCCTGCGCAGGGACTGTTACAAGGGAATGAGTCCTGAAGAGCTCCAGCAGTACACGCAGTACCAGCTGCAGCAAGCAGAAGATAGGAAGGTAAAGCACAAAAAACTTTAACTCTATTAATAAGTAACATCATGAAATGTTGCCAAAGATCAAAATATTTTTGTTAATTTGTTACGTATTTGTTAAAAAGCGAACAAATATGTGCAGAGCGCTGCCGTGAAGCAACGTGAGAAGGAGCTTCAGGAACATCACGAGAACATGACATCAGCCCGGGCTGCACTGCTGCTGGAAAGACAGCAAGCGCGGATTAATAAGGAGCTGCGCAGGAGTTTGGACAACACCAACGCACAGCTGGCCCAGACCCATGATGCTCGGTGAGTTACAATGGGTTTGGTTGACTAATTAGCACACACTTCTGAAATAATAATCTTACAGTAATTTTAATTCATTTGAAATGACTGAATTTTAGGGCCCTATTGGAATTGCTCTGTTTATTCTTCTTCTGCTTCTTCATCGTCTTCTCTGAAATGAATGGCATTTTGAGGGCCTAAACATACTCGAAAACTCACTAGACTGTGTGCACACGTGTCAAAAGTGCTGAAAATGTACATCTGATATGGGTTTCAAGAAGTCAGTGGGGCCAAATGGCTTGATAGCGCAACTTAAATTTCAACAAAGCGCCCCAATGCATCAATGTAATACGTGTCACGTTCACGTACAAAATTCTGTAGGCACATGTAACATCCCACACATCCTGATTTTGCTGAGTTTTTTAACTCGTTAACATATTTTGTTGATAATGGTCCGAAAATTGAGTAACTAACCCTAACCCTATCCCTTCCCCTAAACCAATCCTACCTATAAGTGATCCCTAAATTCGGAAATGATGGTGAATAACACTGATGTTGAAGCACCTAACCCTGGTTGTAAACCTGAACATAAACTGTAAACTTGTCCCTCAAGTCTGATATGTTGATTTTAATGTTGCTCCAGGATCAACAAAGATGATGGACTTGATGAAATCAGGTTCTACTAACATCCCAATGGGGGTTAAGCGCAACAACTTCCGTATTCTGTCAAATATTCCGTATTCGGTTCAGGTCTTTTGTATGTGCTTCATTAAATATAGAGCTGTTTTACTCAAGATGCCCTCAAAGTAGCTATGAGCATAAGCTATGTCCATCGCATATGCAGATTGATATCTAAAACTAAGTATTTTATTTTTCTCTTCTAACATTCGGATATTCAAATTGAATAAAATTGCAACAATAAACATAATTAGCCGATTGATATCTGAATCTGACAAGCGGATACGATGAGAACTGTTTTCCTGTTTGTTCATGTGACAAAGTCTATACCTTCAAAGTCATACCCTAAATCCAACAAGAAGTTTTAATTTTCTCTGTAATTTTTGTGCAGTTTTTGCCATTTCCAGACATCCTACTTTAACAAACTATGCTTAGAGATTTCATTTGTATTGATTTAGCTTTTTAAAGTTAGTCAGTGGACTACAACAGTGTTGTTTTTGTTAATTTATTGAAAACAAGATATAACAAAATATTAAAATCTTAAGCTAAAATAAAATATAAATACCACATGAAAAAGTTAAAGGAAAATTTGAAATGTGTCCTTGGCAGCGAAGTACTAAAATGACAAAATTTAAATATTAATAAACTAATGCAAATGACAAAAACAGCAAAATTACTAAAACTTAAACTAAAATCTAATGAATTCTAAAAATATTAATAAATACTAAAATTGAAAGAAAATAATTCTCTGTTACTTGAGTTATTTATTTTGTAACAAATGCAAACACTTTTTTACCATTTACAGGAAGGAACATCTCCAGGATCTGTACACCAACATTCCAGACGAGCGCTACTTTTCCCAGTTTAATACCAGCAGTAGATAAACATTACAGCGTGAACCTGAAAGATGAACACCATCTCGGCTCAGCAAATCAAGAACAATAAACCGTATCATTTTACAGTCAACACCTTGGCTTTAAATAGACGGGGGACTTCAATGGAAGTGTTTTGGAATTTTTAATAGGTCACAAAGATGACAAATGTTATGTGGAGTTGTCACACTAGCTTTATTTCATTCATGTTGTAAACAAAACGAGTTACATATTCATAAAGAACTTAAAGAATTTAAAACACCCTACCTAGGTCAGTAAAAATATACTTTTAAAAACTTTTTTTCATGAAATAGAAATGACATTATAAACCAGAATTTGTATGGTTTATCAGGTGTCCTAATAAGGTGATCATAAATCACAATTAGTATTTACAAAAACGCACACAAAACCGCTAGAGTCCTCCATTTTGTTTCGGTGGAAGTACAGACGATCAGTACACGGGTTCTGCACCAGATGGCAGCACAGGCCAGTTCAAGATTTCACATTCAGTTCTTCACAAGTAACAGCATTAATTGCAGTATTCACAGCACAGTATGTTCACCAATATGGCAAACAAAAGGGGGAAAACTCCTGTAAACAATACCTTTAAAGCCGTGTTTTTATGCAAAGTGTTTTAAAGTAAACTTTCCAAAACAAACTTGTCCCATTTTACCAGCAAAACCTCAATAGCCTCTTTCTTTCTTTGACTTGGCAATGAGCTGTACCTAGAAATGAAGAGCGAGAGGTAAAATAAGTTACAAATAAATTATAAAAGTATATTGTAGGTCATAAAAATGCCCAAATAAACTCACAAACTCATCCTAAAAATCCTAAAATAAGACACTTGTAGACAGTTATGTTACCTGAGGGAGTTTATGACCAGCTCTTTCAATGTGCCTAAATTAAAGCTCATTCCTCCAAAGCCCATGAAGGCTTCATAGAAATCGTGTGAAAGGCCGGTGGCCCGAAAGAGAGCTGGATCATCCGAGCTGATCACCAGAGGATGACCCTCAGCCATCAGCACTGTCGCCGGGTGGTCCCGCAAGTCTGAGACCAGTTTCAACACCTGACAAAGGGTCACAGCATTATTAGTATTTTCAAATAAGACACAGGCAGTTGCAATGAAACAAAAATATAGCAAAGACTGAAAGAGGAGCATAGTGGAGAGCTGAAAATATGTATAACGTATAATATGTGTTACCTACTTATTGGGAAGAGTAAAAAATACTATATATGTAGTACCTCTCCCATGTATGTACTCACTTTAACTTTTCAAAAACCATTACTTGTAATTTTTCTGTTATTTAAAGTGACAAAATGTCATGTGGTGCGACCGTCTGGCCATGTTGTTTTGGAAACGTCTTTGAAATAATCTACCGGTACATTTATTTTCTGCACTATTTCGCATTATTTCCAAAGTGTAGGAAAAAAGTTTTTTTTTATTGTAATAATATTTCACAATATTACTGTTCTTACTGTATTTTTGATCAAATAAATGCAGCCTTTGTGAGCATAAGAGACATCTTTCATTTTCCCCCCTTTTTTTCAAATCTTACCGGCCACAAACTTTTGAACGGTGGTGTATATTGATTTCAAATAGTACATTTAATTCAAAACAGACCTAAAACATAACATAACCTTGCACAATATTAAATTAGTAGAACATTTACATAGTATATACTATATTATTACATATTTATAATATTCATATTTTTTCACTATTTCTCTCGTTCATTAACATGTTGTTATTGTAGCATGTTTATAAATATCACAAACAGACATTCATCAGAATTGTGATTTGAATTAAATATGAATAGGAATATAGCTACCTAAATAATTCAAATGTGTTATTTGGAATAACAACATGAACAAAAACAATAGGACCAGGAACATGCATTGAGGAAGTACAGTTTGGACTTCAAAGGCATACCGAGTGATGATATACCTGATTTGAGATGGGGCAGATTTCAATTGGTACGCCCATCTTTCTAGACATCTCTTTAACTACAGGGTGACGTGCCAAGGCAAAGCCATGACCTATACGTGTGGTGTTGAATAGAAGAGCATCCATGAGGTTCTGATCGACATCTGTTCCCTGTGAATCTGTGGGAAAAGCGAATGAAATATGTTACTATAGCAACTGTGAAAAAAGAACAAGCGCTCAATCATTTTGAGCCTAAAGGACGACTTTGAGTTACACTGCTTTGTACCAGATGAAAGAACAAAGATGTCAAAGGAAACCTGTCTCTCCTGCGTGGAAAAAGTAGGGCAGATTAACACCCCTGTCTTCAGGTAGACTCAAAGCGTCCTTGAAGTACCACAGAGGTCTTCCAAGGTCTTCTTGTCCTACCTGGAGTTATAAAAATGATAAAGTTGATTCACGTATTGGATATTTCAGCAATATGCTCATCAACGAACCATCAAATACTCACAAAGTCAAAGCCTGCCATGATGTTTGGAAAGTTCCTTTGTAGTGCCATTGCTTCCTCCACTGCCTTCACTGCCTCTGTTGCATTTATTCCCCTAAGAGCAACAGGAAATGATTTCTATTCATTCAGATCTTCTTGAATCAAACTCATATTTGATCTAGTTCAATGTTTATCTCACCTGTGGACGGTAAAAATAACCCGAGCCCCTAAGAAGTCTGGGTAGTGTGCCGTAAATCTGCTCACAACTTCCTGGCAGGCCCGCATACTCCAGTCCTTATCATGCAGTCTGCCATCAAGTTCATATGTCTAGACATTTTCAAATAAAAATGAGCACATATTACTTTTCATGTATTGTACATTCTATTTTATATGGAAGCTTATTTCCACCATGGAATAATTTTTTTTTTTTTTTTAAAGTTTGAGTTTACGACCCGGTTTCACAGACAGGGCTTAGATTAAGCCAGGATTAGGCCTTAGTTCAATTAGGACATTTAAAAGCTTTTATAAACGTGCCTTAGGAAAAATATTACTGGTGTGCATCTTGAGACAAAACAATGGAACTGACATATTTTAAGATATATAAGTGCAAGTTGCTTTCAGTTAAAACAGCTCAAAAATGCATTTAGTCTTAATAATTTGAGAAAAAAGACAGAACTGCGAGACATAAACTCGCAATTCTAAGAAAACGCAGAGAGAAAAAGTCACTAAAATGTTGAAATTACTTTTTATTTAATTTTTTTTTATTCTGTGGCGGAAACCACAAAAGCGAATTGCGAGATGTAAACTCAGAATTACGAGTTTGCAATTGTGAGATATAAACTTGCAATTGTGGGAAAGTCAGAATTGTGAGATAAAAAGTCGCAATTACCTTTATTTTATATTTTTTGGCGGAAACAAGCTTCTATAATTATAAATGAAGTTTGTATTTTATTAAGGAGAAATGTATCCATACCGCTGGCAGCAGCGCCCTGATTTCCACAAACATGATGTTGTCCTCATAAAACTGTCTGAGACCTTCATAAAGGTAGTCTTTAAAAACGGGTGCATAGGTGACCAGACCGTAGGCCACCAAGAACGCCTGTTCAAATCTCTTCCACACACTGTCTTGGCTAGGATAGTCTCTGTCTGGGTCCTCAGTGAAAAGTGTGAGATTTCGAATGAAACTGTGGAAACAAACATCCCTCAGCTTGAGACAAACATCCCTCAGCTACAGTCTCAGATTTACTGCAGTTTTCTCAGGCTCTACCTGTTGTCCAACTCGGTGCTGTTTTTAATCTTCTCCCTGAGGGATCTGAGCAGGGTCCATGAGGAGCAGCGTGGACGAGATGCAGGCTGTCCGGAAGAGAAGATAAACTGCACGGTCTGCTCATCTGTGAAGCACACGTAGCAGTTCTCCCTGTAGGTCACGTTCTTCACTAGCCAATCCACATCTACCATAGCAAAGTCATGAACATGCAGGGCCGCACCTGGACAAAAGATGATTTGGATAAATCATTATACTTATTTAATTTATTCCTGTGATGCAAAGCTGAATTTTCAGCGTCATTACTCCAGTCTTCAGTGTCACGTGATCCTTCAGAAATCATTCTGATGTGCTGATTTGCTGCTCAAGAAACATTTACTATTATTATTAATGTTAAAAACAGTTGTGTTGCTTAAAATTGTTGTGGAAACCTTTAAAAAATGCAGGATTCTTTGATGAATAGAATAGAAAGTTCAAAAGAACAGCATTATTTGAAATAGAAACCTCTGTAACATAAATGTCTTTACTGTCACTTTTGATCAATTTAATTGATCCTTGCTGAATGAAAGTATTAATTTCTTTCAAAAAACATATTACTGACCCCAAACTTTTTAACTGTAGTAACAGTCGAATCACAAACTACACAATATCTCTGCATCATTAGATTACTGCACCTTTAGGCATCTTTTGAATCAAACTAAAAACAGGGCTTTGATCGATGAAGCGCTTCGCCTTGAAGAAATGCATAGACGGTGGGAAAGGTCCTGCTTCTAAATCATGCTGCTTCAGTTTCTGAAGCTTCGAGTCAAGCAGTTTCTCTCTCTCGTTCAGTGTTATGTTGCCTCCTGTCCGTCTAGATGCCTCCAGTCTTATCAGAGCCTCCCGCTTCCTGGGATCTGGTCCACAGTTACATGATGCACACCACAGAAACAGCATCCACATCCGCACCAGGGGTCTTGCTGTCAGTGTGTGCATGGCTGTGATGTAATTCAACCACCGATCTCTGCGCTAATGCTGAAAAGTAATGAAGTGGATTGTTAATTATTTAAATGTGCATTACATGATTTTTGGTTTATGCTTCAATGACTGATATGATGTTCTTGGATTTAATACTGACAGATGATGCAGTTCCACGCAAAAGTAAACGTTTTCCATTACTGTAGCCATGTCAACTATGATTATATTACAATAATTTATTTAAATATAATAAACAAATAAAGTGAGTAGAAACTGGTGCCTTTGTCTCACCCATGGTTAATATATTATGAGAGTAAAATCTATTCATTTAAATAAAAAAATTAAGTGATTAGTATCTGGCTAGTCATGTGATCTTAAAATGGCAGCCACCAGAAGAGGATCCCCTTAAAGTTTTATGTAGAAAACGGCAGTTTATTATAAATTCATTAATATGTCATCATTTCTAAATGTACATTAATTGATTTTTATTTTTTATATTTTAAGAGGAGGAAAAAATACTAATTTTACTGGTTTAAGCTAAATGTACTAGCAGTATTGAGACTTCTGTTAACCTGTGAGGTCTGCAGTTATAAAGAAAAGGGGTTTTGCCCACAGCTTTGCACTTCTTTCTTTTTTTCAACGGTCAACTGTTACTTTGAGAACAGTTTCAGCCATCAACCACAGCTGTTCCCTAATGCCGGTGTAAAATCAGCTGTCAGCTGTTTGAAACTGTTTACTTCTATCAGCAAAGTATAAACTATCACAATGATATAAAATGAAATCTATCAATCCTTCTAAAACAACGTGACCATCTGTTAGACTCAATTAGGTTACTTGTAAACAATCCACATGACACACAACAGCATGTCGAGCTGCACTCTACCTATTATCAGTCATGGTTAAGTTGTCTAGCTGTTGTCACGTTTTCTTCATACTTCAATTCTGATATCGTTTATAAACATCTGTCGAATTTCAATGATTTAGCGATTGATTTATCAAATAAAGAGGTTTTCACCCAAAACACTTTAAAACTGCACCAGTAAGTTAAAGTTGCCTGAATTAATCCCAAATAAACGTACAGAATAAATAAATACATTCCAAAACACAGCGAATTAGAAAATGTCTTATCTGGCGATTGTATACAATGGATATATACAAAGACACCGACCGTAAGTGTTTTAACCGAGCTCCCGATCGACTCTAACGCGTTACCCTACCACAGTACAGACTTCCACAACAGAAAGTGACGTCATGTCTTTCCTTAAAGATCATTGGTTCTGCTGTGTGGCAGTGCGCGTGGACAAAAGACCCGAGAGGACAAAGATGTATACACGCATTCTAAATCTAGCTATATTAACTGGATTTCGGGCTTGTTTTCCAAAGTTTACAAGTCCACAAATATACGGGTGATTATCATGTCCAGTGAGGTTTCTCAGGCGTTTTGAACCCTAACTGAAATCTTATTCACTTAATTAACTTAATTCATCTTAAATCACTTTTAGTAGTGCCATGTAAGTTTTACAAAGGAGAAATACACAAATGAAAACAAGTGCAAAATCTAATGAAACGTAATTTATTCTAAGAAATGTACAGTATAGAAAATACTTCGGTCCATTTCCAAAATAATTTGTCATTCAGGTAAGAACTTGTAAACTTCACATAATGAAAGTTACAGGTGTCGTTTTGGATTCCAACTTTGCTGATGAGGTAAAGTGAACCGTTTCAAAACAAACATGAAAAGAACATTTATATTTAAAAAGACAAAAATTTACAAAACACAAGAGCAAATAAATATGATTCACATTTAACCAACTAGTAACTTAACTAGTACAGACAGAATAGATGGCAGCAGATACGTTGAAGGGTGGATTTCAAGAAATAAAGACCCAATACCCACCAATAAGAGAATGAAAAAAATAAAAAAACATCTGTACACAGCAAAATTCACACATTCTTGTAGTTCATTACTAAATCATCCCTTTACATATTAACAGTGGAGTAGTACAGTCTTCTGACAGACTGCTAAAGTGATACAACTTATGAGCAAAGACAGGTACAAAATGGTGGACAACTTCCATGTCATCTCACAGCTGCTAGTATTTCCATATCCCTAGATCATAAAATACATATAAACAGTTCACGTGTCTACAAAAATACTCGCCCGACATTATGCACCATCACAGGATTCTGGGACAAAAGACCTCAGTGTACCACAAACATCACTGTCAAATCCTTTGTACAAGGTGCACAACCTCTTTTCCACTTTAAAGTGTGGATTCCATAAAACAACAAAATGAGGGCAAACATTTGAACCTAGGATGCTGCCTTCATTTCACTGATGGTTGTAAAAAACCAACATTCAAAAGGTGGAATGCAGATGTTTTAATCATGTTCAAACTTGGCACTGATAAATTAATAACGACCATTCGGTTTTGTGAGTGGATATATTAAGGCTATAGTGTTGATTTAAGGATCAAGCCGTCAATCAAGAAAAAGTATAGTTCTGAGTAGAAACATGAAAAAGTGAAAAAAAAAGAAAGAAAAAAATATTTTCATGGGTCTAAGAGGGGAATAGAGAATGTGCCACATTCTGACATTATGAGGTAGATTTTCTTGCTGCCATATCACAAATTGCCGTTACTATTTAAAGGTTGATGAGCTGAATAAAACATTAAGTCAGACAGACCATAAGGACACATAAAAAACAAGCTGATATTCAAAGTAATTCATTTAGTGCAGGACAACAATAGGAGGAGCAATGAAAATAAACAAAACCATTCTACTCCATTTTCCGATCAGCCCTTGTCCCCCATAAAAAATTAAGCATTCAAAACAAATATTAGACTAATTCAAAGAACAGTGTGACAAATTACATTAACCACAAGACAAGTACTGCTTGTCTGGTTTCTGCGTCTGTACTGAAGATCACAGATGAATTGAAGTTAATCACAGTTCCAGTGACATTTCATTGGAATTTTTTCACTAAATATTAATTCGACAATACCCGTATTAAAACCACTACACCCTGAGGACATATTCAGTAATTTGAATTAAAAGAGGAAGCATTCATGTAAAATATGAGCACATCGACATTTCTCCCATTTAATAAAAGGAGTCAGTGTAAAGGCTGATATATACACTCATCTAAATGCATTGTTAGTATTGTGACTCCAGCTGGTAATTTTTGTGACAAATGTAATTTTCATTCCAATATGTGAAAAATATTTTAAGACCGATGGCCAATGAAGAATGATATCAGGTCACAAACAATAAACCAGCCTTCAAGGAACCCCAAAAGCTATGGATTACTAGTAGACTGTAAATATTAAGAGGTGAAAGATACCTCAGTATCTGAAATCTGATTCATTCTGTGCATACATAATTTAGCAGGACACATCAATAGGGAACAAGACAACACATACGAGATAGAGACAACTTAAGTGAAAAGTTAGAATTTAGTCCCATACTAAGAAGCACACATCTAATTTAAGTCCAAGGCCACTCATTCCAGTATGAAAGACTATTCCTAGTGCATAACAAATAAAGCAGCCAAGTTCTCTCCCAGTCTAAGAAAACCAAAGACAATCTTCAAATTGAAGTGGCATTAAAAGAATGCACATCACCAGAAATAAAGTGGATACTATGCTTTAGTTGAGATGAACACCACCTCATTAATACACTCCAGGTGTGGTGTTTCCCAGTGGAGCAGAAGATCCATCTTTTATTCATTGAGTTGAATTACTACATCTAAAATCGTTCAGAACATTCAACAAGTACATGAAGGCAAGAGTCTAGTTTTTTCCAAGCTTCATGGACAAACTAAAGTAGTCTCAGTACGTTCCTTACTACACCTGAGTTTAACTTTGTAACTGTTTAATGGCATCTTGCTCTTCTCATGGACAAAAATTCAGTTTCTTTGCTTCCTAAGAAACAGCCCGTGCAAAGGAGCTTGGAGATGTTGTTTCTTTTGTAGGGACTGAGTCCAAAGACATTCCAGGCTGAGAAGAGAAGCTGCAGACCAGTATAATGGAGTTTAAACAGTATTAACAGGACTGAAGATTCACTGGTCAATGGTCATTGAGCCAACCTCTTATCAAGGTGGGTAGGATCTGGGCTCCAATTGGTACAATAACTTGCCTTTTTCAGCAAATAATTACAATCAATCTTCCTTTCCACAACCAATCTTTAGTTGTGGCCTCCATTTCCTTGCATATTCCAGGACATAGCAGTGTTGTAGAAGGTGTTAATTTTCCTTGGGTTGCCAAATAAATCTTTTTTTTTTTCATACACCTTGTTTATTGCCTGGGCCATTGGGAGATGGTGTACCCAACATTTGGTGCCTATCAAACAAGAAAAAGAGTTACTAAAGCTAAGTACATTTGATGTGAAGGCATTATAAAGACAAATGTAGATGAATGTGTAAGTGGATCCAGATCAATTTTGTCATAAGATTTGAGAGATAAATGAGATCTCTTACCCAGTGCGAAGTAAGTGTTCTGCAACCACTGCTCTTTGAGAAACCATCATTCCCTGGAACTGCCCTGCAACATTTGGATGCCTGTACATAACCATTCGAGTTTGACCTGGAGAGAAAGGCAGGTGCTGGGGCCTCTGTAAAGCTTCCATCAAATGTGGATGAGGATGCTGTGGTGCAAAATGTGCACTGGGAAAATGCTGGCCAGAATACGGCCCACTTGCCATCATATGGGGTGGATGAGCACCACTTTGCTGCATGCTGGGATGCATGCCACGAGTCCCATATGGGAAACTGGGGTGCAGCTGAGCTGAAGTACGATGCCGGGCTGAAGCATTGTGGCTGTCCAGGTCTAAGATCTCTTTTGGGCTCTCTGAGCGTTCAGAAGGCTCTTCAGTTCTTGCCTGCTTGGCAGGGCTGCCATCCTCCCTATTCTCCAAAGCACTGCTATGAGACCCATCGGGTATAGGACTGGGTGACATTAAGCTCCCACCAGATCCATCCGAGCCATGTGGAGACATGCTGCTGTCCTTGTGTCGTCCATTAAAACTTCCAACGGATGGTGATTGGTAAGAATTGGGGATCATTGGGTGTTGAGACTGGTATGGAGGTCTAGGCCACTCCTCATGTGAAAATCCAGGTCTGCCATGTCGGTGGTGCTGATAGAACTGCTGATGCTGCTGGAACTGAGGATGCATGCTGGGATGGCCCTGAGGATGCTGTGTGGCCATGCGATACTGGTATGGAACACCTTGCTGGTGATATCCAGGATAGTGTGCAGGATTTTGATGAGGGTTATTACCCTGTGATGGAGGTCCCTGGTTTGGGTATGCCTGGTGATTTGATGGGTGTAATGGTCTACCCATCTGTGGGCCAAAGTGTTGGTGTGCTGGCTCACTTACACCATATTGGAGCACAGTGTTGCTCTCTGGACCCTGAGAGTGTGCTGGAGGAGCCTGATTTTGAGGTGCTGGCTCCTGCCTTCCCAGCTGGGTTTGTGACTTTGGACTGAAGGGCTGTTGTTTGTAAAGCCCACTGGGACAATCAGTCATCATGTTAGCATTGCTGCTGTCTTGGGAAGCTTTACTCTCTCCTGATACTTTCCTGTTGGTAGGCTCACAAGGCCTTTGGTCTCCCTGATCAGCCGGAGAGGGCTGAGCAAGTGGATGGGATACAGGGTGGCTAGGAGGTAGAGAGCTGAGGGTTGCAGGCTGGTGAACACCTGGCTGACCCCCCTGAGGAGGAATCTGTGGCATTCCATGAAGAGGTCCTGCCTGTGGACCTCTGACAGATCCGTTGTGTTGTATTTGCTGTGAGCCGTTCTGAAAGTACTGATTAGATGCATTTTGTGGCATCTGTTGTGGAAGATTCTGTAGAATATGTGGAGGTACATTCTGAGACTGACGTTGAGAACCATTCTGAAGAAACTGTGGTGGAACATGTTTATGGATTTGTAGAGAGGGGTTCTGGGGAATTTCATCAGGGGTTTTATGGGTCATTGGCTGAGGACTATTTTGGGGAATCGAAGAATCATCTACAAATTTTTGCATTAGGGAACCTGGTTGGGTTTGAGAATTTGGGTGGTCACCATTGTGGATTTTCTCTGGATTTGACAGTCTATATCTATCTTCATTATGACTGGGACCTTCCGTACTTGGAGTGGTCACAGATGCCGAAGCTGTTCCTAGTGAAGGATGCTCAGATGTTTCTGTTGGATTGGGAAGAGAACGGTTGTCAGCCTTAGTCAGAGCAGTCTCGGTTGACTGTTTATCACCAGATTCTGGACTTGAACCTGTCAGGATATACAATGGTGGTAAATGTGGTTAAAATCATGCAAATGCCATCAATCTTACAATATAATTTTCATCAAATGCAATAGTGTAATGCCAAAATATGGCCAGGAATACCACTCTTACCTTTAGGGGATATGGGAGTGTGCTGGTTGTCTACAACACAATCTCTAGAAGGCATGAGGAGATGGTTTTCAGGTGAAGACAGTGTAGCAGAAACTAAAGTATTACCACTACTTTGTGGGGATGACTGAAAGCTCCCAACATGATGAGATGATGAGGTCGAGAGCTGCTGGAGGGCAATCATCTCTGGACTATCAAGCATGGATGCCAAATGTGGCCTTGAGACCTGAGGGGCCCCTGGTGGTCTTTGGCCAATAGGACCTTGGGAGTTGACAGAGGGCATTCTATATTGACCATTTGTCATTGCATAACCAGTACTGTGTGGAGGACGGATCATGTTGTGATTGTATGGATGTTGGCTAGTTGCACTCTGTTCTTGCATCATAGGTCCACCAGGTGTCGGCTGCCCTTGATGGTTCATGGGTGGCCACATTCTGGGCATGTTTATGCCATGGGGGCCATAAGGAGGATAGGAACTATGCATTGGGACACCTGGGCTGGAGTACCGGTTCCCCACAGGCTGCATGGACTGCCCTTCTGGATATTGGCGTGAAGGGTACATGTTGCCTTCAGATGGAGGGGCACAGAGGCCTCCAGGCTGAAGGGCCATTGGCCTTGGGCCAAGAGAAGGACCATGAGTGGGACCAGGATAGGAATGTTGTTGATGTGGAGCTTGAACTGGCCGGCCATCAGGTCCAACTGGGTATCTGGGACCAAGATGCGGACCATTTATGTGGGAACCCTGATAAAAAAGAAAAACATTATAAACAACCTTCAAGAGGTGATTTTACTAATTTTAAGTGATCAACACTAATACTGCTGATCAAACATAACATACCTGCATGTTGTAGTGAGGTATATGCTGAGTTCCATGGTCCCCCGGTGGCCTGGACATGAGGGGTCTCTGTCCAGGATATGGATACTGGGGATCAATCATCATACGTTGAGCATACATCCCTGGTCCTGAAGGACCTGCAGGTCGTTGAAACTATTTGCAAAAAGAACACCTGTTATGAAGTACTGACAGTAACAAGCGCACAGGGAGAACTTTAGGATAATAATCAAAACTGTTGTTTCAGCTGTAAACAATAAACAAATTTAGAAACCGAGACTGTGGTCTAACCTGTTGAGCAGGATGTAACATGCCAGCCTGTTGCTGTCCTGGGTAGATGTTATGAGGATATGGGGAACCATTGCGGTAGTGTGGGGGAGGGGGTTGTAAAGCGGATTTGAGTATGTCTTGTTGCTGATTGTTTCCCTTGCCACTATAGGACATTTTGCGTTTTTGAACCTGCTCAGTGGCTCTGATCAAGCTCTCGGGACCTGACTGTTTGTGACTTTTGCCCTTTTTCTTATCCTTGCGGTCACGGTCCTCACTGTTCACGTGAAACTCCTCGTCTGTGTCGCCATCCTCAGAAGGGAAATGCTTCAGTAGGGCTCGGTTAAAGCAGCGTTCCAAGGACTCAGCCATTATTGTGTATTCTGAGGAGATACAGACAGGTAAGCATTAGCACACACACATATGATCTCATCTCCCCAAGCAGAGCAAGCACACCAACTAGGTCACAGAACCACAGTTGACCTCTGACCCCACTACCCCCAGGGGAATGCATTCTGATGGATGGATGGCTCCAGGGAGGGGAGCTGTGGGGCTGGAATGTCTCTGTGGCACTGCAGGACCTGGCGCACTGGAGGACAGCTCAATCACTCTCTATTAATCAATGTCAGAGCCTCTCGACATACTTCCACAACTATCATGACTTGCTTTGCTTATCAATTCTTTAACACTGATACACATTCCTACGTTTTGTTGAGTGGATTATTGTTAAACAGTTTCACTTCTGCTTAGATGCCACAAATCTTGGAAACAAAACGGTTCATCTTGATCATATTTACCACTCTCTTCTCCGTTGTATTCCAGACAGTTCTCAAACATAAGCTTTACATCGGCCACAAACTCATCCTTAGCAATGTACTCCCCATCATTCAGCTTTCTCTCAATGGTGGACAGGTCCATTGGAGTCTGACGAAACATTTTTAACAACTTATTGATTTATTCTTTATGAGATCAAATAAATGTATTTATAAAAGCTTGTATACCCACCTGTATGATTTCATGATAGTTGGGGGCATATGACTCATCAACAGGCTCCATGAAGGGCCAGGCATCTTTTTGAGCTTTGAGGGCCTCCAACACTGAAGAGAACCCAGTTTTACATTATTTCAGTGGAACTGCTGCAAGTATTGAATGAGGAAATGAACACTGTGGTTTGACCACAACACAAGCACCATTGTCCAAACGTACCTTTGTAGAGAGCTGTGTAATCGTCATCCATGTCATAACTACAATACAGAAATAGAAGTAACGAATAGCAACAATCACCATAAAACATACACATAAAAGCTTTTACATATTAATTAGAAAGTAAAATTAACATCAAATGTGTTTGGAGACAATTCGCAAGATGGAAAGCTAATACTGAGTTTGAGAGTTAAAACAGTCCTTACAACTCTTTGGTGCGGCGTGCTCGACGAATAGGTGAGTGGGTCTCCAAATTTAGCAGCTCGGGGGGAAGTTCTTTCCCTTGGGAGAGCAACCAGGCCTTCTCCTCTCGCTGCTTCCTCCTACGTGCACGCTCTGAACAACACAAAAACATGTGAATGACAGAATAAGAAAGCCAAGTTTTACACTTATTACCATTAATAGTGCACTTTTTACCTGCCCGCCTGTGCCAATGTAATGAAAAGTTGGCAAACGAAAATCGAAAACGAAAAAGTCGTAATAAGAGCAAATAATCTGGCAGCTTTAGAAGGCACATTTGATCAAAGGGCACAGGCAAGATAAAGGGGAGAAGTGTTTTATGTGCTGACATTAAAAGCCCTGACTGACACACCCTGCTGGGAGGATTAAAAGAGCTTGAGGAAGAAACCACTGGAGAGAACTGCAGGCTCGATCTTCATCCATAATACATTAATGTGCATAGGCCCATCCGCAGCAGCACAATCAAGAGTTAATTAACCCGCTGACAGAGGATATCAGAGCTGGATGATTCTCACGAGGAGTGAGGTTGATCTTTTCCCCTAGCTCAGCTCTTTGTATGATTAAAGCAGCCTTAGGGTAAAAGCACGCCGATTTCAAATCCGCCATGTTGAGACAAGACCATAGAATGTGCTCTACCATCAGTGTGTGTTTGATCATGCTTCTGGGGAAACTTTGGTCGCCGGTTACCTGAAGTGTTACTCACCCTCGACAGCTTTGACTCGCTCCTGTTCTTCTCTGTCCCGTTCTTCCTGAAGCAGTCTCTCTTCTTCTTTCCGTTGTTCAGCGAGAAGGACTTGCCTTTCCAGGTCCTCCTCCTTCTGTTTCTCCACCTCAATTGTGGCTTGTGTCTGCTTCACACACATGCATAAATGAAACTACAGCTTACAGAAAATATACAAACAAGAAATTACTGACACGTTTAAAAAAAAAACATACCCAATTCTCTTTACTGCCATGTTGTTCAGTGTAGCTGTTGTGTTCCTCAGAAGGATTCAGTAGCTTCTGCTTCATCTCTTTCTCCTGGGGAAGAATAACCTTGTCAGTTGTGGTTACACACATATGTGGGTGTCAGGTAGGTCACTTGGGGGATATTGGCCCCTCCCAAATATGCCCTTTGTTTAACCAAAGCAGGAGGCTAAAGAGTGTCATTGCAAAACCAAACAGCCCATGGTGACAAAGGCTCATCAAAACCACCCCCTTTCCCTCTGTATCTCGGTATATTCAGGATCTTCTGCTTTGTCTATTACCCTACAACACTTAGTCCCATGCTAGATGGAGTGTCTGTGGTATCACCACTTAAGAGGTCAAAAAACCTGCAGCGCTCCAGGCCGTCAATCACCATGCTCCAGCTCACCCCAAGGTGAGAGCCTGCCACATGGAGACGGCTAGATGGATTGGCTCTGACAGGGCTGTGTGCATGTGTGAGAGAGAGTGGGTGTAGGGGTTTGATTTGAAGAGGCAGTTGTCCAAGTTAAAACCCGTTGCATCAAGGTTGCGAAAGAAAATATCTGGTTCTTTGCAGATTGATGTACAGGTGTGAAAAATGTGAAGTTGAATAACGTTGGCAGCACTGAAGAAAGATATACATTTTACAGTGAGGGTATGTAATGGTGATTGCTGGAAGAGGGGTAGCTATAGCAACGAGACACTCTAATAGGTCTTAATTAGCCACGGAAATGACATGTCAACACCACTGCAAAATGTGCATACCAACATGCATCTGATATAGGCAGTTCTCACTGGTAAGAAAAAGATCAGGTATCTAAGTTATCTATGTGCATATTCCAATGAAATAACTTTAATCACATTTTTAATCACATCACAAACTGCAGCAGTTATGATTGTCCCTAAGGACAATGGACGCTGCAAGGCTTTCTGAAAATCAAAATCTCATGCCAGTACGACCAGTCATGAATTGCACTCATGCACTGGTATTAAAAATCAGCAGCAAAAGTACCAGGGAATGGATTAATAAATAATAATAATAATAAATATCTTAAGATTAATAATTAAAAAAATTCAATAATAAATATCTTCTAAATATGTGTGCAAATCTTGAAAAGTTTTGATCTTATCTGATTGTATACTTGCCTACTCTTGAGGCTGCCTTGTCAAGTACAACAAATTCAATGCTTCAAAACTGGTTATTAATATTAATGCAAAATAACTTAAATAAAAACACCTGATACAAATTAAGACCAGTGTAAACTCACCTAACTTGTATCAAAAATCATTAAAAAGATAAGAACATTAAGATGTCTTTCAAGCTAACAATTTTTGAATCAGAAATTTAAAAAAATATTATTTAAGAATAATTTAATTTGAAAGAATGTTTTCTGCATTGTAGGAGGGAATTCTCATTGTTCTCAAACATCCTACTAATATTGCCAAAGTAAAATATGTCACCATTGTTTTTTTTCTGGAGATGGCAATCTCTACTGAGATAATAACCTATATCCCAGTTTAATAACATGACTCATCATTACATCACATCACATGCGGTGCAATCAGACGGACTGAAAAGTCTCACCTTGTGTTCAATCATGTTACTAATCTCAGGCAGGAAGTTTTGAGTGATGATGCGGTACAGGTGACGGTCCTGAGAAGAAATTCGGTCCTTGATACTTTCGGCCAGATTGACCCACTGTTCCTCGGAGTCACACATCAGAGACCAGACACCCCGCTCACGCTCTGACAACACATTACACAAACAGCACCTCATTAACAGATATAAAAAATAATCAATATCAAAAGACAATTCATGTTTGGAGACCAGTTAAAAACTTGCACAGGATAGGAATTTTATAATAAAACTAAGCATCAAGATAATAATTTGTCAAAGGCTTCTAATCTAGCTACCAACCACAATTTGAGCTTTGATCTCTTAGGGCCCTTTCACACCTACCTTGTTTGGTCCGGACTTTCGGACTTTTCAGTTTGGTCCGAATCAAAATTACAGGTGTGAAATCCATCACAGACCACGGTCCGGCCCAAACAGATGAAATTTGGTCCGACGAAAAGAGGTAGTCTCGGGCCCCGCCCACACTACTGTGTTTTCGTTTAAAAACGAAGAATTAAAACGAATACGATCTCCGTCCACGCCAGCGTTTTATCTGCGTATTAGAATTGATCTCCGTCCACATTAAAACACGGATCACGTGACCATTCACCAACACTGGGCATGCGCCTGCCGGTGTAAACAGGAAACGGATTGACATGTGATGGGTGGCTGACGAATCAGGGAAGGATACGTCATGACTGATTACACCCAATCATAGAGCCGAGCGTAAGCCTCTGCATCAACGTTTCTAAAGTCCTCCGTTTTGTCCCGTCTTCACTAAAACACCCTCAGGAGATTCAAAACGCAAAACGGAGCTGCAGCGTTTCTAAACTTCTCTGTTTTAGGTCTTCGTTTTTTCCGTTTTAGTCTGGACGGGAGGTGCAAACGTAGCAAAAGGTCTCCGTTTTTAAACGACGGGGCCTCGGTCCGGATCAAACTGAACAAAGGTTTGGTTCGTTTCTAGTGTGAAAGCATTTCTGTATGGTTCGGACTTTCAGACCTTTTACAGGAAGTGCCGGTGGTTCCCGCATAGCCGAAAAAAACAGAAGGTGGCAGGAAAAATGAGCCGTAGTAGCACATGGGGAGAGGAGGAGACGAGGTTTTTAATTGAAGTATGGACTGATGACATAAGAATTCAACTGGAAAAAACGCACAAAAATACAGACACTTTCCAAATATTTTCGGAGAGGATGAGAGAGAGAGGGTATGAGAGGACGGGAGATATGCGTCTGTTCATTCATGTTGTCAAAGTTGTTGTAGTCATTCATGTTGAATTGACAACATGCTGATGTCAGACACACGTCCATTTACAAACCAATCAATGTCAAGATGTAGCCCACATAGATGATGACGACAGGACGCAAGTATGTCACGTAAAGTTCTTTAGTGCGCTCTCATAATTGCAGTGTGAAACCAAACCAAAACTTTCTGAAAGTATAAAATGTATTAAAACGTGAACTTTGGTTCGGACCTTGGAGCGGACTTTCAGGTGTGAAAACGCCCTTAGAAATCTATGTGAAGCCAAGCTGGCATGGTTACTAGCATTTTTCATTTCAACTTATGTCATGAAAGCGCTCCACATTTCATGCTTTTGCTGAAAAAGCATTTCATGAACATTGCAGCAGACATGTATTACAGCCGCCATGGGCACTGTAAGCCACTTACATTGCAGAATAAAAATGAAGGACAAATGGTTCTGCAATGACTCAACATCTTTACACATAAAACCAACCAAAAGCAGCAAAACCTGTTTCTCACCTATTCCAGGTTTAGACTCCCCGACACTTTCATCCTCTTCCTTCACAGAATCCTCCTCGTCCTCCTCCTCCCTGAAACAAACAAGATTAGAGCCTTATCTTTCCAAATAATTCAACTTCAAAGCACCAAACTCTGACTAGTAAGACTAGTAGTAAGTATGTCATACAGTGCATTTAACGGATGTTTAAAGAGGTCCTTACATAGATTCATCAATATCCTCAGACTTCTTTGGTGGCCTCCCTCTTCTCTTCTTCTCTACTTTTTCATAAATGTCACTGTGAAAATAGTACAACTTTTAGCCTTTTTTTGGGCGATTTTTGCCTTTAATATGATAGGAAAGTATAGAGTGGACAGGAAGCAAGGTGGGAGAGAGAGAGAGAGAGTGGGGGGGGGGGGGGGGGGGGGCGATATGATATTTGATATCTCTCAGCCAGCGATATGATATTTACCTCAAAAAATTCTGCGATACAATTACAATTCAGTTCTATATCGATTGGTTTATCGATATTTAGATATTATTTGCCAAGTTTACACAACCAGTTACACTTTTATTAACTTGCAAATGCAACCAAAATATATTACATGAACGTTTAATTAAACTCTTTGAAAATTGCACCCTCTCTCAATTGGGACATTTACAACAGAAGAGTTAATTTGCAAAAAACTTACAAAATTAAAGTTCATTGAAAGTATGTTTTTTATATATTAAAAGTTTGTTTTTTGGCAAAAGCAGTTAAATCCAAATTTTATATTTCAGAGTTAAACAAAACCAAGTAATTGCTATGATACATAAAATACTCGGTTAATCTTTGTAACGTTAATCTCCTCAGCTGACATAGACGCCTGACAAATTTTGTTGTTGTGGTTACACGCAATACAGGGAGCTTTTCCCTCACCACTGTAACATGCTGCTTTAGCAAGGTTCCGTGAAAAAGTTTCAGCTTTCATTTTCCTTTTACGCCCCGAAGAACATATCACGGGTTCATCAAGTTCGTTGAAGTCATTCATCCTCGATCACTTTTAGTCAGCTTTGCTAAAACTCCTCTCAGCTAGCGCGTTTTTTCGAAGTGACTAACACAGCCCTGTCACCTGACCTGAATACTGTGCGCTGATTCGCTAAAACGGACTTATCGGGTTGGGTTCACAAACAACAGGGGTGCTTGTTGGTTTCTGCTGTAACATGAACTCGCGATGCCTTGACAGTGGACAATACTGGCTTTTGTGACAAAACGTGTTTAGGGTTCAGTCAATCTTGTCAGGCGTCTATTTCAACTGAGAAAATTAACGTTATAAAGACACGCCGCCACCGGCAGATAGTATGGCGAGTAAACGAAATACACTCACCTAAAGGATTATTAGGAACACCTGTTCAATTTCTCATTAATGTAATTATCTAATCAACCAATCACATGGCAGTTCCTTCAATGCATTTAGGGGTGTGGTCCTGGTCAAGACAATCTCCTGAACTCCAAACTGAATGTCAGAATGGGAAAGAAAGGTGATTTAAGCAATTTTGAGCGTGGCATGGTTGTTGGTGCCAGACGGGCCGGTCTGAGTATTTCACAATCTGCTCAGTTACTGGGATTTTCACACACAACCATTTCTAGGGTTTACAAAGAATGGTGTGAAAAGGGAAAAACATCCAGTATGCGGCAGTCCTGTGAGCGAAAATGCCTTGTTGATGCTAGAGGTCTGAGGAGAATGGGCCGACTGATTCAAGCTGATAGAAGAGCAACTTTGACTGAAATAACCACTTGTTACAACCGAGGTATGCAGCAAAGCATTTGTGAAGCCACAACACGCACAACCTTGAGGCGGATGGGCTACAACAGCAGAAGACCCCACCAGGTACCACTCATCTCCACTACAAATAGGAAAAAGAGGCTACAATTTGCAAGAGCTCACCAAAATTGGACAGTTGAAGACTGGAAATATGTTGCCTGGTCTGATGAGTCTCGATTTCTGTTGAGACATTCAGATGGTAGAGTCAGAATTTGGCGTAAACAGAATGAGAACATGGATCCATCATGCCTTGTTACCACTGTGCAGGCTGGTGGTGGTGGTGTAATGGTGTGGGGGATGTTTTCTTGGCACACTTTAGGCCCCTTAGTACCAATTGGGCATCGTTTAAATGCCACGGCCTACCTGAGCATTGTTTCTGACCATGTCCATCCCTTTATGGCCACCATGTACCCATCCTCTGATGGCTACTTCCAGCAGGATAATGCACCATGTCACAAAGCTCGAATCATTTCAAATTGGTTTCTTGGACATGACAATGAGTTCACTGTACTAATGGCCCCCACAGTCACCAGATCTCAACCCAATAGAGCATCTTTGGGATGTGGTGGAACGGGAGCTTCGTGCCCTGGATGTGCATCCCACAAATCTCCATCAACTGCAAGATGCTATCCTATCAATATGGGCCAACATTTCTAAAGAATGCTTTCAGCACCTTGTTGAATCAATGCCACGTAGAATTAAGGCAGTTCTAAAGGCGAAAGGGGGTCACCATATTAGTATGGTGTTCCTAATAATCCTTTAGGTGAGTGTACATAGATGGACGTTACGTGAGGATGTGGAGAGTGTCAAAATAAAGGTACTGTATATCGATATTTTACGTGTGGCATTGATGTATCGTATCATTAGACGTTTGATCGATGCATCGATCCATATCGATGTATTGTTACACCCCTAGCATGTAAGGGTATGTTCATATGTATGTAGAAATGCTCTCCATACCTGTATTGTGGAGACATCCCTTCGACTGGCTCCTCTTTGTAGAGCCGTGTACCGTAAAAGTACCAATAGAGGGCCCCGTTCCCATCCTGGCCCAGAGGCTCAACACGCAAACTGTCTGCATCCAGGCCCTGCAAAACCCATGATCTCTATTAGACTCTTCTGTTATGGTGAGGATTAAACAAACAAACATGTTTTGTTTTTTTAATGAAAAAAAAAAAGTGTGCTATGACACATGAAAACAAGGTTGCTACCTTGAGCCTGTCGAAGACATCAGCAGCATCAAGACGATAGTCACAGAGTCTGTGCAAAAGCTCCACCTGTGTGCGGGGTGGTAGCTCCTCAAATAGGCGCTCCTTCAGTGGATTAGGCTTCCCTTCTTCCAGTTCCCAGCGGTAATTGATGATGTCTTCCAGATAACTGTTAAAGGACTGAATCCTAAAAAGAAAAAGATCGGAATATCACTAAACAATTTGCAAATAAAGCAGCGGTTCCATCCCATTCCATCGGGGGTTAAGTCACATGTGACTAATGATTAAGTCACTTGACTTGAGGCAAAGTCACATGACTTTGATGCACATCTAGGTCCTTATTCAGAAAAGGGTTTTCTATCGTATTTTACGTGCATTACTTCCATCTGAATTATTTAAGTTTTTTGAAAATTCACGTTTCCATCCAGCTTTTATTTTATCCCAAAATGTGCATATAGAAACTATTAAACTGACCTGTGACAACAGGAAAATCAATGCACAAAATCTTACACTTGTCCACTAAGGTGTCAAGTACCATTAAGCAAAACACACAAAAGCAAAGCAAACTCAAACAATCTTGTTTGCGGCAGATCGGGTCTTCCACCTTGATTTTAAGTTAGGATAATTCACTTGATAAATTATTCATATGATTTAAGTTCTACAACTGCCTTTTTTGTGATGAAAAAAAGTTAGTTCCGGGTGGGGTCAATTCGATCAACCCAACACCCAGTTCCTGGTACTAATGCGTAGGGCAAGGGTGAGCCTTAGGACAACAAGAGAGAAGGTAGAGAGCAAAATAGGATAGAAAGAATAGGCTTATCTTGAGAAAGCAGAATGATCTCTCTCACAGCTGCAGGCCCCCTGCCATTCCATCTTTCTCTGCCTCTCTCTCTCATCCGTAACACTCCCTCCCCCATTCTGCTGGAGCGTTTAGCACATGTAGAATGAAAAGGGCACTTCTGTGAAAGGCCAGTGCCCCGCGGCCTCCCCCTGGATGCCAGTTGCTGTCGAATCCAATAAAACCCAGCGTCCTGCTAACGGCCTGCCGGAGTATGCGAAAGGGATCATTCTTGCCTACCCAGTCATCGACCGGACTCCTTTTTGCTGCTGATGAGGCACCGCTATGGAAGGGAGCTCCCTTTAGGGGCTAGTCATTCATCACAGTACTGACTCTCACAATAACTCACACTCTTTAGTGGGATGGGGCCCATGGCCCCTTGACCTACTACTGCTGCAGGTAACCTAGCTCCATGAGTACAGCGCTACTACAGTCAACTGGTTGCATGCAGATTGGAGATGGAGTCTGAGTCAGACACAGGATGTGGGTTGGGCAATACCATGCATAAGATCCTTCAAGAGCACAGAGTAGGGTTGCAAAAACACCCCAGACAGTACAGTATTATGAGTATTTACGGTTCAATACAAGTTAAGTTCCATCGACAACATTTGCTGCATAATGTTGATTACAAAAAATAGACTCATCCATTTTCTTTATGTTGTCATGGCAACAAAGTTGTGAAATTGGATATTGCAAAATTGGACATTCAATTTTATCATACTAAAATCATGTTAACACTCATATTGTTTACATCTGCCTCTACTACTGGAACTGAGTATTATTAACATTTACAGATTCACTTCCACTGTAAGTGCCTAACTGTAACCCAGATGTTTGCTTTTTTAAAGAAAACGAGTGGCAAGTGGAAATACATTTTTATGGTAATCAAAATTATACCATAAACATATACATAATTGTTGATTGAGCTTACATTTTATTTAAAATGTAACTATCCTAGATTTGTTTTCTTTTTCATTAATCTGTTTACTCAGATGTACGTCATAATATGGAAGAAAAGATCTGTCGCTACTTCAGTTACATCACAACTTTAAGGTACAATAGGAACAGGAAATACTGATGGTGATGCACTTACGTGATGTCGCTGCGTTGATAACATCCTTTCAGCAGGGAGCAAAGGAGGTCTGAGAGGAAGTCTTGGTCTTGTTTCAGTAGTGCTTGCTCAAGTTCCTATAAAAAAAGAACAGCAGGGAGGGAAGGTTAGCCATTACAGCAGGACTGAGTTTAACTAGCAGCTGCTTTTACAAACTTATTAAACGATATTGGCCTAAACAGCCTAGCTTGACATTTTTATACCACTCTTTCGCTGATGAGAAAATGTTGTGCCGAACTAACACCACATAACGTGGGGCGCTCACAGTAGTAACAGATTTATGAATTTCATATAGTAGTTTGACATTCAGCAAAACAGTGTAACCTCATGTTACAAAACTCTTTAGGGGTACTTAAGATTAAAGTAAGGGATGCAATAACAGATCCTGTTTGACCGCCTTCTTAGGTTGTCATTAGGCATTACGACTGAAACCAGAGTAAGACTAATTGTTGTTTTAAGGAACTGCCTGTAAAGCAATGTCATTCAACCATGGTCAGTCCAGGAACCAACCTGACGAACTTCCTTTGTTTGCAAGAGCCACATTTTAAAAACACCCAGTGTGCACTGAAATGTTGAGTGAATGTGGTATCAACTTAATTTGATCTTTTATTTACACTATAAGATCATACCACTACAATGCATTTTCTAACTCCTCTGGACTTGGATAAATGTTCCCAATCCTGTATAAACGTGTTTCAATCCTCATACAGGAAAGAAAGCAAAGAGATATGTTAATGAGATTTAGCCTAAGGTTAATTCTGATTGGTTAATCAACATGTAGAGTAGTGGCATGTCACAGTATGCATGTTTAAGTACATTTCCATGTGCACTTATAATCAAGCTACAGCAGGTTTTGGATATGTGAGCTACAGTCCTCATCTGTCTGTCCAAGCATGCATAACACAAAGCATAATCAAATATTTAAAAGTATTAAATGCACCTTGTGCATGAACCGTCTTTTATAGCAAGCACACCCACAGAGGCCAACTGTAACACATTAACGTGTATACTAAACTGAAGTGAACTAAAGTGTTAACGGACCAAGGCGTTCAAATTGTGACAACCTTTTATTTTAGTTGAACTAAAAGCAATTTTTCATTCATCACCCATCCATCTCAATTTTAAAAAGGCCCCAAGCAAAGTCAAACTTTTAAAGTCCAAATAAACGTACTTCATGATGTGCTTGTTGAGTACTAAGTGCTAAAAGTTGAATACTAAGAATGTCACAGTTTGAATGGCTTTGTCAATAAAGCAAAAAAGCAAACTGATGTATTACATCATAACATCTGGAGGCTTAGCCTAGTCATGAAAGATCTGAGCAACACCACTGTAGACTTAATCCCTTCGAGGGGCAATCCATGAGCTATTACCATCATGACTTTGGGCAAAACAATTCACCCCATGTTGCTCTAGATGTATTTTCCCTGTAGGTGTACTGCAAGTTGCTCTGGGTGAAAGTGTCAGCTTAATGACAATTCAAAGCAAATTAGACATCTGAACAGGCTATGAAAACATCAGGTAAAACCAATACGGGAAGCAATAAGTCACTGTCAAGATGAATTAACAGTGGAGTACTACAAGAGTACAGAAACATGGTTGGTAACCAACTGACTTTAAAAACCTATTGGATATAAAGTCCTGGTAAAGTCTGGTCATCTTTATGGTAAAGATGATAAAGTCCTTAGACGTGCACTAAAAACACACCAAAACATTCTCCAGGTTCTCGATAAAGCTTCTAGGAACAAGATGGAACTGAGATTTAACCTTGACCCCTGTCTTCTTTCATTGTGTTGCAGCTATTGAGGGTTTATGAAGCGGCAGTAAGTGGGACTGCAAACTCCAGCCTACTGAAAGGAACTAAGCGACAGCATGAGCCCACAGCCACAGCTAGGACTAGACTGACCCAGCACAACCTGACCCAGCATGCACTGCTCTCTCTTCAGGATGCCCAATGTCACTAAGAAAGAGGGAGGGGGAGCTTGAGAAATGTAAATGGCCAGTGCTCCATCACCGGTCCATCTCAAGGAGTTTAGCGACTACGGTTGCTTTCTTTAACAAGGACACAGCGAGCCACTCGGTCCCTCAGGCAACGGGGAGCACTTTTCAGCTACCGTATAAAATATCCTCCCCCTTTACCCTTTCAGAGCGGAGTGACACAACAAAATTAACTCAAGGGCGAGAGAGGCAGCCCATCCATTCATCGTGAGATTCACTCAAGCTGCAGATTGCCGTTTCTCTCGAGAGAAATGGTGGAGAGAATGGGGTCATGGAAGGTCAGCTCACACACCTCCTAGCTGTAGAGAGGAAACCAGGAGCCCAGTGTCAGCAGCAAGAGGAAAAACAGGATGAGACATGCTTGTGCTTAAGGTGAAAAAAACAAAACACTGTCCTTAGATTGTTCTCTAGGGGAAAAAATGGCGGTGGTGTTGCTTAACATGCTGAATTCATTAGGCTTTTTTGGCTTGATTGTTGAAGCAATTTAAAAGCTATTGATTATCCCCTCCAGGTACTCAAAGAGTCTAAAGTGTCTGTGAAACTCCTTATTGAAGGAGACAGTCTGTTTGGGCAGGAAGTCCAGAGGGGAAATGGATTCACCGTAACAAAAAGGGTTATCGCCTGGAAAAATTTGGTAACTCTTCATGTCTTCATCTATTTATATCCATCTCTTCACAACTCACTCACATTCTGAGTGTTTGGGTCTGCCAGGAACATCCAGGATTGCCTTCAAGTGATGGGCCACTCTGGCCTTCCGCACGACCCTCAGAACCTCCGTTACACCCACAAAACTTTCTGGTCCCTTGACAGTTAGAGGACCAGAGTGGGCACATCTATCAGTGCAGCCTCGACTTTGATCACACTTCAAACCTGAGGCCGGCTACGGGGATTAACAAAACCCCACTTCGCTTTTGAAGTGCCATTCAGTGGCTCAGATGGCAGAGAAGGGGAATTAATGTTGTGCGTGTCCTTTCCACCACAAAGTCTCCTTTAACAGCTCCCTGAAGATATCAGACCTCAATCTTCTGTCTTAACCAACTAGCAAAACAGGTATGGTAAGTGCACAGTACAGTTTGGCAAAAAACAAAGTGATTGTATTAGATGAGTCATTAGGAGTAACATTTTCAGTCAAGTCCAAGGTTACAGTGACAGTTCACCCAACAATGAAAATTCTATCATTTGCTCACGCTGTATGATATTTTAAAGAATGTTTTGACTGTTTTTGTCCAAAACAACATTGGCCCTATTGACTTTCATTGTATGGACAGAAAAAAAATAGGCTTCAAAATATCTTTTGTGTACCACCGATGAAAAAAACAGACATGTTTGGAACAATATAAATGAGTAAATTATGATAATTCAAATTTTTTGGTTAACTACTCCTTTAATAGTTCATCAAATAATTCTTCAATGTGGCTGTCGTTGTAGGTCACATGACATTAAGTTTCAGTCGGCAACCTATGGCACGGGACAATCAGTGGTACGTGACATTAGCTAGAAAAGAGGTGTATGTACTGTATATAATTTGAACAAAGTTCCTCTAAATTGTTAGTACATTTTGGAGTAATCATTCCTCATGGTCACACACACATTTTAACCAGCGCTAGCGCAGATCCGACAAACCATACGTGTGAGCAGAGGTGCGAGCTTCTGTGATTATCCCTCCGCATGCCATAAGGTTGCTGACTGCCGAGATATAAAATTAAAACGTTAGACTATATATATTTTATCAGTCTCAGAGCTAATTCACTGAATGTCACTGATAAAGTTATGTATCTGTCAAGACAGAGCTTTGGCAAAACTGAGCCGCCCTCTGTATCAGTCCCTGGTGCACACCAGAAACTCTCTAAAGATGCATACAAGCAATTAACAGCTCTTGTTAGTTAAGGGAGTAACAGGCAGACAGTGAACGTTCATCTATCTGTATAACGTGCTCTCCACTCCCTGAACTGTATCTCCTGATGCCACACTTTTTAACCTACATAACAGCACAGCAACATTATGAAAAGAAACTTTACTAACCTAATTGTGGATCTTCCAATAACTGAAACTTTCTTATAAAGTGTTTGCAGCAGTGCTTCAGATTCCGCTGAGCAGCACTGGACTGGCAGTTGAGGATAACGTATAATGGAGAGATACAATCCAGATAAGGTATTGTTACTCTCTTCCCAAGAACTTAACCATGCATAAAGTAACTCTCTTTAAGTCACCAGTGGAAAAACGGCCTCGTTACCACCTATTCTTTCAAGGCATTCAGACCTCTTCTGCTGCTGGCAACTAACAACAAACTCTTGCTTGTATATACTTGTGTACTGTATGTTCATTCTTTGTTCGTCCTTGTCGTTCGTTCATCTTCGCTATATTTTTCGTGAAGCTTTATTTTGCTTCGCTTCTGCTATGATAAAGAGACATCCCCTTTCGCATTGTGTGTTCATTCATTTTGGGGGTGAAGCAATGAATATATATACGGTATATATATATTATATATATATAATTTTTTTTTTTTTTTTACATTTTTGGGTTTAATTCCAATAATATTTTGGTCATATCACTACCCACCAGTCAGTGCAATTTTGGAAAGGGTCAAGAGCAGGGCAGGCTATCCGACGGCCACCCATCTCAATGTCAGGGCCAGGTGCAACAGGTGGCCATGGATGGGTGGCCAGACACATCTAGGGTTTGGGATCACTGCACAGGCAACTGAATGGGGATCATTAACTCCCCTAACAACAGCCTCCCCATTCTCAAGTCTCTTGCGTGGCCTCCACTTGGTGGTCTTTTTGCCAATATCTTGAACAGGATATTGTCCAACAACACCACCAGGTGCAATATTAATGTGCTTATGACCATTAACAAGACTAGTTTGCCAGGGAAAGTAAAACAAAACTGAGCATTAGGGCTGCGTGCCTTACCACATACATAATCACACATAATACAGCACCAAAAAGTCTTATCATTAAATGAAGAGCACACTGTTGTGTTTGTTAACCAAACAGATGCTTGCACAAACTCAAACTTGCTGCTTTTACCATCAGTGACAAATATTATTGCAAAAATAACTTCTCGTTACTTAAACGTGAGT